GGGAAAGAGCTTCAGTTTACTTTATGAGGCTGTTACAACCTTGTTCCCAAAATCAGACAAAGATTATTATATGAGAAAGAAAAATTATAGGCTAGCCTCATCTCATTTACAGAGGCAGATATCCTAAAAATATTAGCAAATCATGGAATCTAATTTAAAAAATGATAGACTCAAAAACCAACTAATGGGGCTTCCCTGGTGGCGCAGTGGTTGAGAGTCCGCCTGCCGATGCAGGGGACACGGGTTCGTGCCCCGGTCTGGGAAGATCCCACATGCTGCGGAGCGGCTGGGCCCGTGAGCCATGGCCGCTGAGCCTGCGCGTCCGGAGTCTGTGCTCCGCAACGGGAGAGGCCACAGCAGTGAGAGGCCCGCATACAGCAAAAAAAAAAAAAAAAAAAAACCAACTAATGGTTACCAAAGGAGAAACATGGTGGGGGAGAGATAAGTTAGGAGATTGGGATTAACAAACACACACTACTATATATAAAATAGATAACCAACAAGGACCTACTGTATAGCACAGGGAACTCTACTCAGTATTCTGTAATAACCTATATGGGAAAAGAATCTGAAAAAGAATGAATATATGTATATGTATAACTGAATCACTATGCTGTACTCCTGAAACTAACACAGCATTGTAAATCAACTATATGCCGATAAAATTTTAAAAAAAAGATATCTATATAGCTATACCTGTATCTATAATGGAATACTACACAGCCATAAAAAAGAATGAGATAATGCCATTTGCAGCAACATGGATGGACCTAGAGATTATCATACTAAGTGAAGTAAGAAAGAGAAAGACAAATACCACATGACATCACTTATATGTAGAATCTGACATATGACACAAATGAACTTATCTATGAAACAAACAGACTCACAGACATAGAGAACAAACTTGTGGTTGCCAAGGGGGATGGGGGTAAGGGAGGGATGGATTGGGAGTTTGGGATTAGCAGATGCAAACTATTATATATAGAATGGATAAAAAACAAGGTCCTACTGTATAGCACAGGGAACTATATTCAACATCCTGTGTGATAAACCATAATGGAAAAGAATATGAAAAATAATGTATATATATATGTATAACTGAATCACTTTGCTGTAAGGCAGAAACTAACACAACATTATAAATCAACTATACTTCAATAAAATAAGCTTTAAAAAAAATAAAAAGGTAAATCAGCAAATCGAATCCAACAATATACAAAAAAATAATTCATCACAACCAAGCAGATTATAGCCCAGGAGGCAAAGATGATTTAACATCAGAAAATGTATTACTAGTTATTAACACAGTAAAGAAGAATATAGTGTTATCTCAATAAACATAATAAGCATTTTATAAAATCCAAAATATACACATTCATGATTTTAAAAAAAGCAACTCTTAGTGAACTGGGAATAGAAAGAAACTTCCTTTTGCTAATAAATAATATCTATCCAAACTTGCAATAAATATAATACTTAATGGTGAAAAGAAGCATTCTCTTTAAAGTCAGGAATAAGACAAGGATATCCACTATTGAAGCTCCTCTTCCATAATAAAACAAAGGACAAGAAAAAGTAATAAAAGTTGTAAAAATAGGAAGAAACAACACCATCATTCACTAAAAAAATATGATCGTACCCACAGAAAAATCCGAGAGAATCTAAGATAACTAACATTGTAATTAATGTTAGCAAGGCTGCTGGATACATTCTCAAAATACAAAAATCAGTAGTAGTCCTGTATACTAGCCACAAAAAAGTTGGATGTTGTAATTAAAAAATTTATAACAGCAACCAAAATGGTAAGCCTCCTAGGACTAAGTATCTAATAAAAGATGTGTAAGATCTTTATGAAGAAAATTTTAAAACTTCACTGAGGTATGTTTAAAAAACAGACAGAAAGCATATAAAGAGATACCATGGTCACAGTTAGAAAAACTCAGTATCATACAGCTGTCAAATCACTCAGATACAGTTCATAAGTCCAGAAAAGCCAAAAGAGTTTTGAAGAAGGATCATAAGTAGGAGCCTCACCTGACCAGATATCAAGAAAGTTGGGGAAATCTTCCTTTTCCCTTGCTATGAAAGAACATGATTTAAGAGCAATGCTCCTGGCCTCTCTCCATCCTCCCACTCGCTCTTAGAGGAGGAGGGCCTTTTCTAATCAGTGAATTTAGAGGGAAAAATAAAACCTGGGTATTCTTGGCTTAGCCCCATCTGGGTTCTTGGAGGAGTCACCTGACAACCCTCTATAGTATAGTTAAGGGCCTGCCTCTGTGGGGAAAGCCTGAGGTTCTCCAGTTCACGTTGTGATTGCAAGAGTAAGTTTAATTTTGAGTGATGTCTTTGCAAGCCCTTTTATTATAGATCTAAAGCCACTTGGAAAATGCAGCTTTATCAGTAATAAAACTGACATTTTGATTCCTATTAGTCTGTCTCTTGTATCTCCTGTCTCAAGTGGTTCCAAATGTCAGGGGGAAGAGAGATGCTCAAACCTCAATAAGACTTATAGAAATTACACCTTATATTAATTAAAAATGTGGTACTAGCCTATAGATAGACAATAAAACGATGAAGCAGAATAGGGAGCCTGGAAACAGATCTGTGTGTAAGTGAACTTGATGCATGAAAGAGACGGCGTTATCAACAGTGGACAAAAGATAGAGTCTTCAATAAGTGACACTGGGACAATTTGCTGTCTGTACTGAACAAGATTCATTTTAGTTGATTAATCAGGTGGTGCTGTGAGTTGCCTCCTTTTTGATCATTTTAAGTTATTTACCATTTGTGTTATAAAACCTTTCATGAATTATATACCTTGTTTCCAACTAGATCACAAATCCCTTGAAGGTAGGGCTTGAGCCTTATACTTCTTGTTACCTCCAGAGTACCTATCACGGAACTTTACACTGACAATGTTAAATACATGCCTGCTAGCTCACTTTTTAAATTATTATTATTATCATTACTATTATTGTTTTACATTAAAACTCAGTTCCTAGACCTCATTCCTCAGGGCATACAGGTCCACATCAACACGAGTTTTTTAGAATTATTTTGATATTCTGAGTAGAATTTTTTAAACAATTGTGTATTTGCTTAACAGAAGTCCTATCTAAAGTCAGACATCCAGAATTTGCACTTTGAAGATCATGAGACAAAAACAGAAAACGTCAAAGGTAAATCATAGATGTCACTTTCTTGTTATCTTCAAGGCCTATCTTGATGGCACAGAAGAAACTGAAACTATTCTTGTACTTTCCTCCCCACCAATTATTTTTCCACCTACCATCTCACTTCATCCTCACCACAAACCAGTGAGATGAGCAGAACAGGTATTATAGATGAGGAAATTACGTTTCAGAGAGGTAGGAGTTTAAATTCACATAGCAAATCAGAAAATTCAAATGGCAAGGTTACAAATCAGAAAATTCAAATGGCAAGGTTACATGGATAACTTATTTATTTGAGGTTTTTAAAATAGGTTGTTACACTGTGATAAAGGTTGAACAATTTGGCTTGAATAAAGGTATCTCAAAACTTAAAAAACAAAAATTCACATAGCAAATCAAAAAAGATCTGGGATCAGAAGCCAGTGCTCTTTAGAAGAAACCGTGCTGTTCCCAGTTGTCTAACTAAAGGCCTGATATGAATTCACATGATTTTGTAAGTCATTGCCCATCATTCCAAGGATTCGAATTACTAAATGACTTGAGCCAACAGCTTTCCATTTATTTAAGTCAAACGAATCATCTAATGTTTTCTTTGCATCACTTTCCCTCTCCCCTTGTCTTTGGAAGAGGGTCATGTCCATCCTGACAAAGCACTTTAGGCAGCAGCTTGTCCTTATGGCACAATAGGCACTGACATCACATGTGAGAAACGTGCCAGTATGTGTGTGTCTCTTGGTCTCAGACTAGGTCCTGACAGCCTGACCTATTCCTTTGTGTGCTTTCTTCCCTTCACTCTCACAACCACTGATCCTGATGCTTATTCTGTCCTTCGCTTGTTCTTTGGAAAAGTCCTGGGGGCTCCATGTCCCCCTTTTACGAATCACATGGCTATCCTCCGTGTCTCTGCTTCAGCTAAGCTCTCAAGGATTCCTTGTCCCGCCAAACTTCCCATGTCCAAACAACACCCCTTTGAACACACCCCGCTTCGTGGGTGCTTCGCCCTCTTAGCCAGACTGGAGCTTAGACCTACACAAGTATGATGGCTGCCTTTCCTTTTCTTCAGATATCTTATTACAGAAGAAAACCCAGAAGGAAGGTGTGGAGCGATGTGGAAGTCAGGCAAGTTTCTCAGGATTATTATCCACATTGCAGTTTCTGGGTATGAGAGATAAAGGTACTCACCACCTGACCATTAGTCCGTGCTCCATGAAGTTTTTCAGGTTAGGGAGGGTTTGCCTCAAGTCTGGAGTCCCTAGTCCATGTTGATATCTTAGCTGCAAAGGTGGAAAAACAGAATTAAAAGAAATTTTGGCAGCTACTAGGCAATGTTTCCCAAACATGATTCACTAAACAAGTCTCTCTCCCCCCGACCCCCCATTTTAAACGCTGAAAGAGGAAATGTGAGTGTATGATCCCAACATCATCAACCTCACTTTTTGGATGGTGTTTAGAGGTAGCCTCCTCATTTCCTGCTCCCTTGTCCTCTAACGTTGGAGAAGACTAAGAACCACCAACTGTGGAATCAGGATTATTTCCAAGACCCCTGTAGGGTTTGCTAACATCAACTCCAGGGACATATACCATAAAACCAGTATTTCATTTTAGGTACTGAAGGTTGGTATTACACACTCTGAGCACATTCAGCCCTTTTTACACTGACGCTTTTCCCTTTGTAGAATCAAGAACAAGGGTCATGTTGTATCCATCTCTGATCCCCAAGTGTCTGACACAGTGCTAGCGCTTAGTCAATGCTTATTAAACAAACAGCAAGTCACTTTTGACAGAGGCTGTGCTTTATGTTATTTCTCTTGTGCCTCTAACTTTCCTCTTTCTCTAGGACCAGAGTACAGAGCTAAAGAGCTAGTATGAGGAAACTATGGCCTGTGGGCAAGATCTGCTCCTAGCTTTACTTATTTCTGCTAGAGGCTGATTTTCTAAAATTATGTGTCCTTCTATGTGCCTTGGGTAACCTACTAAATGGTTTTAATCTGTCTGTTCCCGTCTCCTCTCACTTTGTCTCTGAAGACCGTTTGCTTCCTTCACTAAACATAATAGAGACCCGAGGTAAGTATATGTGCATATTCATACACACGCTCACACACACAGCATCAAATACACAGTAAGTATACAACACAGCCCTGTAGAAATGTATTTTTCAAATGACATAATAGATATGAAGAAAGGACTCTGTAAACTGCATACTGATGTACAGATATGAAGGGTCATCTGTATTGAAGTTGTACTTTTCTAGCACCTAATTTAAAGGTGGCTAAGTTAAACTTTTAAATATTTTCTTTTAAAAAATTAAACCACTATCAACAAAAAAAGTAAGTTTTCTTTTGTTTGTATCTAGTACTCTATTGACTTTTCACTTAAGTGTGAGTGACATTTAACAGAGAAAGAGTTCACTCTGACTACACTGAACTTTAAAAAGAAACCCCCAAACCTAATCAGGTCTCTTGAATGGTCTGAATACACACATAAAATAAGGAGGTAGAAACACAGAATGTTAAAGCTAAAAGGTATCTTGAATATTATTATTATTATTATTTTTTGCGGTATGCGGGTCTCTCACTGTTGTGGCCTCTGCCGTTGCGGAGCACAGGCTCCGGACGCACAGGCTCAGCGGCCATGGCTCACGGGGCCCAGCCGCTCCGCGGCACGTGGGATCTTCCCGGACCAGGGCACGAACCCGTGTCCTCTGCATCGGCAGGCGGACTCTCAACCACTGCGCCACCAGGGAAGCCCTTGAATATTATTTAAGCTAATCCTTTTCTTGTGCAGATGGGAAAACTGAAGCCGAGAAAGCAAGGAAATTCTCCAAAGCCACATGTTTCAATGGCAAAGATATTATTAGTCAGAGTCTCCTTTTCACAACCATGCCACTACACCAGCTACCCGAAAGTCTAAGAGGAAAATTGGTTGAAAAAACCCAAAATCTTGAGAAGACAAAGGGAAAATATTCTTTTCCTTTTCCAAAGCTAGCTTGGTGACCTAAATCACCTCCTGAGATTTGCTGACCTTGAATTATAAGATCTCCTCCATATTAAATGACATCATTTCTTATATTAATATAAAAGCATTTTTTCCATACATTGATAAAAGTAAAATGGCTGACATCCCAATATGACATTCCTGAATTCATTGTTTCAATAAAAAAGTGAAATTGTTTACACATGGCATGAAAATTTCACCTGTGATTCATACTGAAAAATATTAAATATCAGAAAAAATAAAACGACCCCATACTAAAATAACACTAAGCTATGTGTCCCTGAGCCAGTACGTAGTCAATTGTCTGCCCCAGGCTCCACAATGGAAGGTGGGTGTTGCATTCTTTTCAGAGACCACAGTGAAAATTTCTCTCCAAGTCTGATTTCAACTAAAAAAGGAAACTGGGAACTTCAAGCCTCCACCCAAGTCTTAACTCTTCATTTGTCGTATAGCATTATCATCTTTATCATAGACTGTTGGGATATCTAGCTTAAAGATACCACGGAGATGATCTTTTCCAACCTCCATCCTTTCATAAATGAAGAAACTAAGATTCAGTAAGACAAGTGTCCTGCCCAAGGTCTCAAAGCTGATAAGGGACAAAGCCAAGGCTAGAACTTCTCAATAACAACTCTGAATTCTTTCTATCATGCAGCCCTCTTAACTTTCAATATACAGAACTAAAACAGAAATTCATACATAGTAAGAATATATTAAAATTTTAAAATAAAGTATATGTACTGTTTTAAGTCTAACCTACTGAAAGGCTTACAATGAAAAAGCAGCACTTCTTTGCTCTTCATAGCGACCACTTTTAGTTGTTTCTTCTTTACCTTCATATTTCTAAATAATACACTTATATTAATATTTCTTTCTCTTTCCCCCTCGTTTAGACATCATCTACTATGTTCGTGCTATATGGAAAATGAGAATTTAGCTCTTTTCTTAGCACATTTTATCTCCTTATCCCCATACATTACCTACTGACTTCTTATTAAATATGAGGATTTAACTCTCCACTCTCCCAAATATACTTCTCTTCCTCTCAAGATATTCAATTATTTTTGAATATAACATTTTTTGTTAAATCAATATTTAATGTTTACCTTATACCTACAAAAATACTGTTCACTGCTAAGCCATATAGTATACTATTCTTTTTGACCTTTTGTTTGTTTTTTCTGAAGTGATAATTGCCATTTTCCCCACTTGTTGAGTACCTACCTTGTGGATGGTACTACTTGTTGAGTATCCACATACCTATCACTAGATTTTCCCCCAATTAGGACAAAAACCTTAAATCCTTCCCAATCTGATTAAAGACACCAAATAATCTATCAAGCCCATTTCCCACCTTGGAGATTGTTTCCTGAAGCACCCTTCTCTCCGCTCCAATCTGAACAGGCTGCTCTCTAGGCTGGTTCCATTGTTACCTTCCTAGAACTTTCTTTCACCATAATCCTGGAAATTCTGTTTACAGTCATCCGCCTGTATCCCCAGGGGATCAGCTCCAGGAGCCCCTGCAGACACCAAACTGTGGATGTTTAAGTCCCTCATATAAAATGGTGTTGAATGTACGATGAACATAGTCAACCCTCCACATCCAGGGTTTTGCATCAGTGGAAACAGAGGGCCAATGGTACTTCTGTGCTGAGGCTCTTGTTTCCTAGATCTCATCACTTCTTTCTTGATTTACTGCCTCATTTTGGTGGAGCATATTCTATAACAGCTTTCTGGGAAAGGGCCACATGAGAGGTATCTTTTTTAACACCTTGAATATTTAAAAATACCTTTATTCCATTCTCACACTTGAATGATAGTTTGCTTGCATATAAAATTCAAGACTGAAATGATTTTTCCTTTGGAATTTCTGAAGTATTGCTTCACTGTCATTTAACTTTGCATATGGCAACTGAGAAACCAGATAATATTCTGATTCCTGATCCTTTGTGTGTGAGCTGATTCCTGTCTCCGGAAGCTTTTAGGATTTTATTCTTTAACCTCAGTATTCAGAAATTTCACAGTGATAAGCTTTTGTTTGGGTCTTTTTTTCTTCACTGTTTTGATCTCACTTCAGTGAGTCCTTTGTTCTTGTTTTGTTTTATTTCCTTCCAGTTTTATTGAGATATAACTGGCATACGGCTCTGTATAAGTTAAAGGTGTACTGCATAATGATTTGACTTACATACATCATGAAATGATTACCATAATAAGTTTAGAGAACATCCATCATGTCATACAGACACAAAATTAAAGAAAAAAAAATGTTTTCCTTGTGATGGGGACTCTTAAAATTTACTCTCTTAACTTTCATATATAAAACACAACAGTGTTAATTATATTAATCATGGTATATATTACATCCCTAGTGCTTACTTATAACTGGAAGTTTGTACCTTTTGACTACCTTCACCCAATTCCCACCCTCCCATCTCACCCCTACCTCTAGTAACCAGAAATCTGATCTCTCTTTCTATGAGTTTGTTTTTGAAGTATAACTGACCTACAACACTATGTTAGTTCCTGGTGCAAAACACAGTGATTTGATCATTTTCTATACATTACAAAGTGATCACCACAATGTCTAGTTACCATCTGTCACCATACAAAGATATTACATTATCACTGACTATATTCCCCACACTGTACATGTCATCCTTGTGGCTCATCTGTTTTGCAACTGAAAGTTTGTATCTCTTAATTACCCTCATCTATTTCACTCCTTCCCCCACATACTGGCCTTTCTCTGGCAACCACCTGTTTGTTCTTTGTAGCTCTGACTCTATTTTGTTTTGTTATGTTTGTTTATTTTTTTTTTAGATTCCACATATAAGTGAAATCATATAGTATTTGTCTTTCGCTGTCTGACTTATTTCACTTAGCATAATACCCTCTAGGTCTATCCATGTTATTGCAAATGGCAAGATTTTGTTCTCTTTTATGGCTGAGTAATATTCCAGTGTATGTGTGTGTGCACGTGCACGCGTGTGTATACCCCACATAGTCTTTATCCATTCATCTATTGATGGGCACTTAGGTTGCTTCCATATCTTGGCTATTGTGAATAATGCAGCAATGAACATAGGGGTGCATACATCTTTTCAAATTAGTGTTTTTGTTTTCTTTGGAAAAATACCAGACTTGGAATTGCTGGATTGTGTGGTAGTTCTATTTTTCATTTTTTGAAGAGCCTCCATACTGTTTTCCATAGTGGTTGCACGAACAGTGCACAAGGGTTCCCTTTCTCCACATCCTTGTCAACACTTGTTATTTCTTGTCT